TTTGACTCGATATAAATATGAAGGGCTTTTTTCAGTTTCAGTTGATATAACAAATAAACTTGCAAGCATCAAGCTTAGTCACAATCAGCTTTATCAAAGGCCATGATATGTTGGTGTATCCAACCAAGTTAAACAGTATATCCGTGAACACTTAATATTTAAATCATCAGAGCTTTATCGGGAAATTATATCTAAGAAACTTGAAGGGTTTGAGAACTTAACAATAGATCAAGTATATTTTTGGTGGGCCCGTGAAGCATCAGTATTTTATCGATGGCATAATGATCAATATCAATCTGCTAAGTTACTTTTAAATGAGAAAGATTATAAGGTTATGCTTGATTTGAATGAGCCAATATACGTATTCAGTTTTATAACCAGTTTTTTTAATAAATTACTATGTGAAACAATTATGGTAGATGCTACATATAATACAAACCAGTTAAAGTTCGAACTTTATGCATTGATGACAATAGTGGATGGAACAAGATTTCCACTTTCGTATTGTTTTATTGAAACCAAAAAAGGGTGAGATTTACGTGCAGCTATAACTGCATGGTTTAAATTTTTAAGAGACAATGGACTTAAAGAAGTAAAGATAATCTTTTCTGATAAGGATTTTGCACAAATTAGTAGTGGGTTAGCTGTTTGGAAAGATGCAGAAATCCAGTTATGTAAATGGCATATGCGACGGGCAATTGAGCAGAAATTTTCTTCCTAATATAATAGCAGTTCATCACATTATAATTCTACTATTGCACACCAACAGTGCTCAGTAATCGATCCATTATAGCAACCAGCACAAATTTTAGGCTCTAAAAAAAAGGTTTTTTTAGAAGCAACCTTACGAAAAGATATATTGGAATATATTGATACACATTTTCATCGTCATATATTAATTCCTACAGCAGATAAAGAATTTGTTACAACATCAAAAGAAATTTGGATGCGTGCCACCAATGAAATATTTCAATATTGTTATAATCGTGATTTATTTCATGTATGGTGCTATTTATGGATGGAATGGTACCGCTGGGATCGCTGGTGCCTTTGGGCACTATCAGCACATAAAAATTTATCAATAATTTGTACTATGATAGTTATTGAGTCTTATTGGAGGATTCTTAAGAGGGATTTTTTATATAAATTTAATAGTCCACGGCTTGATATTCTTTGTCATGTTATAATCGATCGGATGTTGCCAAAATT